GTTCCATCAAAGCTAAATCCTGCAAACTTAGTCTCCAGAGGGTGCAATGTAGATGAGTTGATTCACTAAATTTGGTTTCGTGACCCGTCATATATGCTCCTTGACATGATCGAATTGCAGCAAAGTAACCACTTTATATTATCTCCAGAACAAGAAAGGTCAAAAAAACGGAAACTAACCGTTGCACTACTTGCAGTTGAGGACGATAAAAATATTATAGCTGACACAATTCTAAAGCAATCGTCTTACACAAAATTATTACGAATTTTCGCTTATATCTTTCGTTTCTTGTACAATTGCAAAGGAAGCGAAAGAATTGCTTTTATAGTGCCAACTGCAAAGGAATTGAATTGGTCATTTCTAAAAATTATTGAATTCATTCAAATGCGTGACTTTTCAGACGAAATTTGAAAGATTGAACGATCTCAAACGTTATCACCCGGACTTCAAAAATTAACTCCATTTATTCATGTAGTTGAAAATGAAACTCAACGTTGCAGACTGCTCCGTGTAGGTGGGCGCCTTCTAAACGCACCGATTTCCTACGACTCTAAATTCCCACTTCTTTTATCAAAAAACTCACACTTCGTCGAAATATATCTACGGTTTCTTCATTTAACCAATTGTCATGTTGACCCGAAGGCCCTTGAAGCGATACTTCGTGAAAAAATTTGTCTAATAAATACAAAGAAAGCGTGCAGTCGAACAGTAAGACCCTGTATTCATTGTTTGGGTTATAAACTAAGGCTTCTCACTCAAATAATGGGGAATTTATCATCAGATCGAGTAACTGCATCACGAGCATTTCTAATATGCGGTGTCGATTTCTGTGGCTCCGTAAATACTACTCTGAAAATTCGTGGAAGGCCACCAGTAAAAACGTATATTGCTGTGTTTGTTTGTTTCACGTCAAAGGCAGTGCATTTAGAATTAGTTTCAAATTTAACAACTGATTGTTTTATTTCTTGTCTTAAAAGGTTCTCTGTAAGGCGCGGACTCCCAGAGAAGATATATTACGACAACGCAACGAATTTTGTGGAGGCAGACCGAAAACTTCAAGAGCTGGCAGACGCGTTCAACATCCAGAAGGAAGAAATGGATCATACCCAGAACGGAACAGACTTTGTTTTTATACATTGTGACCGAAAGGTTTTCGGAAATTCTCATTTAAAATTCGCGCGCTGTATATTTTTCGATATTTTAAGTTTATGTAGTTTGGCAGCAATTTCCTTAATTACTATGCCAAAAATGAGCGCGATCTGTCAGACAGTTCGTTTACGGCAGCTGTTGAAACCAGTTCACCTCAGTAGTGCGTTGCGAAAAAAACAATGGAAAAAAATATTGAACAAAGAGTTTGCATCAAATTTTGTTTTTCGAACGAAATTTCGTGTGCAGAATCGTTGCGAATGCTACAAAAGGCTTATGGGGAATCAGTTTTATCGAAAACTCAAGTTTATGAGTGGTACAAAGCCTTTCAGGACTGTCGTACGACCGTCGAAGACATGCCGCGTTCTGGACGACCTTCGACCTCTACCACCGACGAAAACATTGAAAAGGCAAAGGAAATCGTGTTCAAAAATCCTCATGTGAGTGTTAGAGAGATAGCACGAGAGCTAGGCATCGGTCGTGAGATGGCTCGTTTGATTTTGGTGGACAATTTGTGTATGCGACGTGTCAACGCCCGGCTTGTTCCGATTCACCTCAATTTGTTCAACATTATCAACGATTTTAAGGCCAAACATTCAATAAATACCATCGAACAGCCACCGTATTCACCTGATCTTGCACCGTGTGACTTTTTCCTGTTTCCCAACCTCAAATTACCACTCAGAGGAACGCGTTTTGAATCCATAGAAGACGTAAAACAGAATTCGCAGAGGGAACTCAAAGCCATACCGGAAAGCGCCTATAAAAATGTTTTGATGATTGGAAGAAACGTTGGCATTTGTGTATCGTTCTAATGAGCTATTTTGAAGAGATAAAATAAATATTGATGAAGATTAAGAATTTTGCGTTTTATTTAAAATTTCCGGAAACTTTTCGGTCACAATGTACCACCCAGGGTTCCACATTTCGGCGGTCTGTGGGAAGCAGCCGTCAAATCGGCAAAGCACCTTCTTTTACGCACCACCAACAGTGCTCTGCTTACTCATGGAGAACTTCACAACGTGCTCGTAGAGATCGAAGCAGTGTTGAATTCGCGGCCGATTTCCGTGCAAAGTCAAGATCCGAACGACCTCAAGGCTATAACTTCAGCGCACCTGCTAATAGGGGGTTCTCTGCGAACGCTGCCGCAAGGATCCGCGCTCGACGTAACAGACAACGAGATGAACTCTTCAACGAGATGGCGACTCTTGTGCGAAGTCAAACGAAGATTCTGGCAGTGCTGGTCGAAAGACTACATACTGAGTCTGCAGCCCAGAACCAAATGGTTGATGGAGCAACCGAACCTCGCGGTCGGACGACTAGTCGTCGTCCACGCAATCCAAGAATCGCCAACGATGGAACCGCCAATGCAGGAATTGCTACAGCCTAGAACTTCAAGAATATTATGAAAACAAGTTATTTGCTAAGAAAAAGATAGAGGAAGAGAAAATAAAATTTTTTAAAGAAACTGTATTGTAAATGAACTGAAAGAAAACAAGAAAGATATAGGAACACCAATTGAAATTAGAAAAAAGGAAATTAATATTGGAGGAAAATAAATTTAAATTACTTGAAAAACTTACGTAAGAAATATAAATATATTTATATAAATTTTAGAAAAAAGTTATGTATAAGTTAAAATACTTTATTAATGATATGAAATAAGTTGATATAATGTTCTTATTTTAGTTAAAAATATGTTATATTCCTTTTATGTAATATATATAAATAAGTTTAGAGTTTCTTGAATACATAATTAAATTTGTACTATTTATTTTATTTTATCAAAAACTTTGCAACAGTTTTCACTGTTCACCATGTCGTAGAAACTGAAACTCCAAAGAGATTCCCAGTTGTCTATAAGTTATCGTATTATCAACGTACCAAAGATATATAAAGACATACTTTCTGCAGCTTACACGTTCAATACTACCACAATCTGTATCAGACAAATGCTCCGATGCTGAGAAGCGCACTAGAAATATATTAAATTTGTAATTTAATCAAAGATAACTCAACATATATTTATAAATAAGGTCTTCCGCTTTATTTCGTCGTAATCTGAAGTGATTTTTAAAATCTATTGGGCTCATGAATTCTATAGTTGCTTTAAAGCTTTTACATTTTTCCTGCTCTTTTTCACTATTGCTCGAATATTCAGAAGAAACTGTTGCTGCATTTATAACATTTAAAAGATAGGTCAAACAACTTGCATCCCTCGGGCGCTGCAAAAGGTTGTTTTTTTCTCCCAGCAACGAGAGTATCTAGAAAAATGTACTTCTTTCAGTGTTGTATTTTTAAATTTCCAATATTTTTACCATTCCTTTTAATTCCGCAGTCATCATAATTTTATAATACATTTATAAAAACATAGTTTACTTGATTTATATGCACATATGCTAGATTTGCCCTATTGCACCAACACTTTTCACCTTGCACTTTTTAAAACTTATGAGTGAACTTTTTTTTGCAAAGTAAAAGTGAAAAGCGTTCACGGAAGACTTAAGATGACATATTTTGCACTTTGCAAATAAAGATTTTTTTGCAGAGTTTTTGCATAAAATGCAAAGCAAAGTGTTGCACCAAAAAATTAGATCACTATCATTTTTATATTGGTTTTTGAAAGCATTTCGTTTCTGTTTGTATATTTTTTTTTGTATTTCTTTGATATTTTGTTGCTATGAGTACATGATTTATGCATATGACCTATTAATGAGTTTAAAACAACGTAAGAAAGTGTCATCGGAACTGTACGAGGAAGCAAAAGCGTATTCAAATTTAAAAATAAAAGATAAAAAAATTATATATATTAATTTAAGGAAAAACCGCTTTATTTAATAAAAGTGAATATATAAGAAATTTATGGTTTAAATTTTTATATATTATTTTACTTAATTTTATATTTTCTAATTTTTTAAATTTTAGTATTTGTAAAATATAAATATATATTGTATAAATATAAATATTAGTATAAATATAAATATTAGTATAAAGATAAGTATAAAGCGTAATATATAAGTATAAAATCGAACTTATTTTAATTTTAAGTTTATAGTTTAATAATTTATTTTAGTATAGTTAATGTAAATAAATTAGTAAAATAGAATTTTAAACTCATAAAAATTTCGGTAAGATATCCCTTCAATTATTGCCAAATGATAAACAGCAACTACATTTATTTTAAAAACAGCAATGATATTTGCCTAAACTAATTTTCTATTTGTATTTCTTTTCTTTCTTTTGAGCATCAATATTAATGTTTTCAAACTATTTTTATTTATTTATTAACGATTTCTTTCATTTTACGCATTTTGTCTTTTATTAATATACAAAAGAAACTTTATATAATTTAAAAATTATTTTGTGCTAAAAACATTTTTTAAGTAAGTTTTTATATTTAAAAAATTTCTTTGTGAATAAAAATATTAAAATGCAAAATTTCAAAGAATTAAATTAAAAATAATTTTAGTTTTAAGAATTAAAAAATATAGTTCTGAGAAGTATGAAAGCTTTATATAATGAAATAACATGTAGCTACTATCTTCATCTCAATTCCTTCAGTTTCGATTACTATTTTGCACTCTGTAGTGCTCTGCTATTGTTTTGAACGCTGTAGAAAATAAATCAAAATGAAGCAAGCACACTTTGTTTCAAAGTGTATAGCAAAGCACATACTTGAACTTCATACTTGGTGTGCAGATATGTAGCATGGTGTATATCAAGCCACAAAAAAGGCCTAATTGTTGTTGTTCGGAAAAACAAATTTTATTGGAGTTGCTGTTCTTGTAATGTATTCTTTGGTGAGTTCGAAAAAAAAAAGTTCTAGTTCACAATGGATTTGCCATTTTATTGTTTTTAATTTGTACGAAGTGCCCTGTAGTTATCAAACATATGCTTGGCAGTTTTATAATAATTGCTGAATTGGCCCAGAAGTAATTTTAGAAAGCTATTCATTAGTTTTTATCGAACTGTGGAATTCAATGTCAGCGGCAAGGCGCGATATTTCCCAACTTTTGCAACGTGTTAGAGCTTTTTTACTTGGTGTAAGTTTCATATCAATATATACATATATGTAAGTACTAAAAAATTATGTGAAAGACGATAACATTTATACATTTAGCGAGAGCACACTATTGCACTTCGTTTCGAAGATGGTTTAGCTAATCGTACGCAACCTCCACCAAATGTTCCTGGGGGACCGGCTCATACATTGGCAGCAAATTATTACTTCCCACGTGACGCGCGTCGTGAAGTAGCTCCACCGATGGATTTAGCTCATCAAACGTTGCTTCAGTCTGGAGCCACCTCAGTCCGAACGCAATTGCCAACACCTGGACCACCTTATAAATGGGATTAAAATGCTAACATTCTAAATTGTACTAAACTAAAGAAATAAAATTCACATTGGTTACTTTCATTGATTTTAAAATTCTGATATTCATTTATGGATTCTATTTTCACATTAAATATGAAATATTTATTTATTAAATATATTTAATTGCTAAATATGAAATACTTAAATTATTGAATATGAAATATTCATATGATTAAATATGAAATATTCATATAATTAAATATGAAACAATTATACTATTAAATATGAAATATTAATATTATTAAATATGAGTATTCGTATAAAATGTGACATATTCATATTATATATAAAATATTTATGTTATTAAATATAAAATATTCATATTATTAAGTATGATATATTGATATTATTCAAATATGAAGTCTTTTAATTATTACTTAAATATTCATATTAAATAGAAATTATAATTATATTATTAAATATGATATATTCATATTATTATATATAAATTATATTCATATTCACCCATATTCTGAATACTCCTAGGGAATAAGTTTCCCTATTCCCTCGCTATTCCCACGAATAAAATTCATTTATTTAGAATTGAATGGGAGACAAAAATTGTGGGAACAACAAAAATTTCAAATTTGTTTTTTGAACTTTGGCAACTATGGCACTTTTCATTGGCTAAAAGTGTGAAAATGAGCAAAACAAAGAAAAGAATTTCGTATAAAATGTTGATTAAAATTTAAAAATCGCATTATTTGTCTGCAGCACAACATATCAGAAATAAATACTTTATAAGTAAATAATAAGATGGAATTGAACATACAAGGTAGTGTCTGATTGCATTTAACATGGTAAATTACAGCGCGATTCTGGTCACTGTTCTCTCTAAGTTGACACACAGCCTCCACTTGGTCTCCTTTGGATAGCTACAATCATCCGTGCGTAGTAAACTAATGTGTGCAGCGAAATCCTCCTCTTGGATGAGGTTAAAGCAATACGTGAAGTATTTAATCCAAACATCCCAATCATCGCAATTGACTGAGATGTAAGATCTTATATATTCATTAAACGAGCGATGACTGCGTTCCACAGTACCAAGCGTTTGATAATGGCGGGTTGTAGATGTAATATTCTTGATATTGAGATGTTTACATAGGTCGTTCTTAATTTGGTTTTTGTACTCTGTACCCATGTCAGTTAGAAACCGTTTCATGGGTCGGTACTGTAAGATAAAATTTTCGAAAATTGCTTTCGCTATAGTCTTGGCACTTTTATTAGGAACTGGAAAAGTTACCAAATATTTTGTTAGATCACATATTAATGTGATTGCACACTCATTGCCGTTCTCCGTTTTTGGGAGTGGACCAATGGTATCTACTAACGCAGTGTCAAATGGAGACGTAGACGTTTGCACTTCTGTTAAAGGCAATTTTGTATGTCTAATTGTCTTGGCCAGTTGACAATTTCGACACTTTTTTACGTATTTTGTAATGGTTTTTGTCATATTTTTCAGTAGAATCTTTGCTTTATTTTAGTCAATGTTCTGGTGATTCCTGTATGACCTCTATCTGCTGGATCATCATGATATTGGTGAAGAATAGATTCAATTGCCGACTTATTATTTTCATTTATTTTGATCATCTTTGGTAATACGCTATTTTAACATTTCTTAATTTTTTGTTGCCCATTTCTTTGAAAGAATTTAGAGATACAGATTCAAAAATCTTTTCGCAAGGTGACATTTGTAATTGTTTGATCTTTAATGCAGCGACTTGTTGATCAAGTCTTTGGAATAACAGGTCTAGATCTAAATTCCCATTAGTGATTAAATCATCAACATATATGTGTTTAAAAATTTTTTTCCCATGCTGCAAGAAACAATTGCCGGATGATAATTTTAATTTCACACATTTTTAACGTCGTTACTACTAACGACTTCATAAACTTTGGACATATTATTATTTTGACGTGTCGGTTGTATTAAATTCGTGTCTGCGCAGAATTTCGCAGATTGAAAAATCTTATGTTTCTTGAATGTTCATCAAGTTCAATCTGGTGAAAACCAGACATTAAATCAATACATGAGAAGTATTTAGCATGTCCCAGTTGATCGAGAATATTTTCGATTCTAGGGAGTGAGAATTTGTCAGCAATTAATTTTTTATTAACCTGGTGATAATCCACTACTAAACGCCATCTTTTATTATTTGAATTAGGGAGAGATTTTTTTGGAACGAAAAGTTGGTGAAATAGATGGTTCTACTATGCCGTCATCAATTAATTTCTTCACCTGTTTATTTATTTCTTCTTTATGGGAATGGGGTATACGATAATTTTTTATGTATACTGGTTTTCTATCTTCCATTAACAATTTTTGTTTGTAGAAGTTATTGCAGGTTATCGGTTCAGACTCAAGTCCAAAAATATCAGTATATTCGGAACATAATTCGTATAATTGAGAATTGAATTGTTTGAGGAAGTTTTTCTGAAGGTTAGTTAAAACTTCTTGACTTCTATGATTTGTGGTTTGGGTGGATGTAAGTATGTCATAACCTAAAAAACTTTCGGACTTTATGTCATTATATCTTAAACTTGTGTCATGATTAGTGCTATTTATAATGCGTATAAATGCGTTATAATATTTAACAATTACATTTACAATGTAAATACCAGGCTTGGGTTCTTGTCTGTATACCAGGACTTCATTTTCACAGCAATTAATTTTGATACATTTCATTGTTTCTGATCGGGCGGGTAGTAGAATTGTATCATTTGCATCATTGAGTGGAATGTACAATGTGTACTGATATATTAGTATAAAAATTATCGGGTCTTAATGTAAGTGAATTTTGGTGGTGTTTGAAATCTAATACACAATTATATTGATTTATAAAATCTAATCCGAGTGTTTCATCACAAGGAATTGGGAAACTTTCATGAACCATGTGGAATTTGTGATGTAAGGATGGAAATTTTAACTAATTTCCAACCAACATACAATCAGTGTGAAGTTAATATCTACAATGAAAACTGGTTAACTTTTATTGTTAATTTAAAACGTAAATAACTTACCATAAACCCACCCCCGCATGCACGTAACTGCACCAAATGAATAAATGTAAGATTACATTAAAAATACAAGGAATATAAAATATATTTAAACAAATAAATAATACACTCACCTTATTTATTATTTATATTAATATTTTTAATATTTGTAATATTTATTTATTTATTAATAAGTAAATATAGATAAACCACACACACCGGCACTATATAAAAAAAAAAATTAAACACTTTTATAAACAAGAAAAAGCATGAAAGCTTTGATTGAACTAAATACAAAGCACTTCGAATTCAAGAACACACGAAAACACAAAGCATAGAAATTTCACCCAGGCGAACAACAGCAGCAAAAGACAACAAGTATCAAAAATATCAACGGCAAATGTACCGATGTGCTACAGGTAAAGCTTCGGTCGTTTGAGTATAAATAAACGAGTATTGTACAAGCAAGGGCACTTGTTGGGTAACTCTCAAAGGTAGTAATACGTCTTTCCGAAACAAGTCAGTAGAACTATAGCGCCAAGGTAGTACATACGTCTTGACTAGTAGTCTTGTATAGCGTCAAGGTAGTACATACATCTTGACGAGTAGATTGTATATGTAGTCTTATATGTAAATCAAGCCAAGTTAGTCATGATACATCTTGACTAGTAGGATTTTCTGTAGGTTTGAGTTAGGGTAGTAAAATAAATATTTTGACTCATGCTGTTACAAATATGCATTTGTAACATAAGACATGATAAGCCTGTGTGGTCATTGCACTATTCCAAGCTAAATTCTTGAAAGTACATTAACTCTTTAAAAAACAAGTCCATGACGTATAATTGTAATACGTTAGAAGAGTGTAGTGTCATATTAAACCATGACCACACACAATGTTAAGTGTGCGGCATTTGTTGTGACACAAATACCCAAAAACACTTAAATCGGTGTTTGTTACTACATACCTAAAAATGTCAATCCAAGTATTTTATGAGTCAGTAATTCGACTCGCAGTTTTGTCATTTCTTTATGACAAATAATTCTGCCGCATAATTAATTGTTTCAATATGCGCTTGGCTAATTGGGTTTAGGTTTGTAGAGCATATGAACTGTATTGGGTGTTTTCTGTAATCATATTGCAAGCAAATGTGCATGCAATATGAACCGCCCTAATTACAGTTGGCACACATATGGTTGCCACAAATAATTAAATATAGTTTGACCTAGTATATAAGAAATTATATGATAACCAATAGAATTTAAGTATTAATAATTGTAAATAGATTTTAAGTATTAAACCAAGCTGACTTCGATCTCTACGAAGAAAATGAAGCCAGTCTTAGTTCGATAATCTCCAGATACTAACGTATCAGTGTAACCTCTCTAAGTATTTTTAAAAAGACAATATAACTTTAAATAAAATATCAAACTAAATACAAATTAAAAAAAGGTGTTTTTATTTATTAAGAATGAAATAATTGACGTTACTAGTGGAGAAATTAAATAAAACAATTAACTTATTTTTACATGGCGATCCTGCGAAAATTGCAAGTTGCGATTCGGAAAATTAAGAAAACTTAAATGTGACTGCAAATGTGAATGTGAATGTAAATAATATTAACATATTATTACAAATTAACATACTAAAATTACAATATAAATTAAATAATACCATAATATTAGTGAATATTATAATAATTCATAATATTAGTAAAAATATACAATAAATATGATATTATAAAGCAAAACAACAAGTGACTTACTAAACAAAAAAAAAAAGTTTAATGAAAATAATAACTTTAGTCATGATGAAATGGCATAAATTGAAATGAAATGAAATGACACTGGTGAAGAAATTAACGCAATACAATTAATTAATTAATATAATTAAGTGCAAGTAAATCAAATCAGAAATTCAAAATACAAACAGACGTTAGCAGCAACTAGAAGAAACACAAGGTACTGAACAATACATGGTATAGTCAACAATTCAACATGGGCTGGTTTTCCAATGATCCACCACCACAGCAAAATACCAACCAACAAACAGACGTCAT